CATACATACATACATACACGCATACATACATACATACATATATATATATATATATATATATATGCCTTGATTAGCAGAAGAGACTCCTTTAAAAACGAAAATGTATCAGATGTATTTATAATAGGGAAAGATCAGATCTGTTTTCTATGAGTCTTCTAACTCATCAGGCCTGAATTGAAATGTTATTCATTTCTCCAGTGAGTGCTTGGCGTGGTACAGATTTATTACAGTGGTTACAGTTAAATAAATCCTCAGTTTGAAGCTGCTAGTCGATAACAGAAACACTTAGTTAGCTCCCAAGAGACTTTTACTCCTAAATGGAGGCTTATTGTTGGATGTGTTGTGGACGCTGAGATTTAGAAACTCATTTACCTTGTGCAACAGAAGTGTTTGTTGGCTGATTCAATCAATAAATGTGAGTGTGGGAGACATTTTGATGTTCATTTATCATTTGTTCATTCTCGGCACAAATACATCAGCAGCCTAAAAAGGAAACCCTGTTCAGTAGAAACAGTCATGTTGCTATATATTACTAATATCTGTATTAAGTTACATTTAGTAGCTTTGTTCATTGTAAATTACTGTTCATTTAATTTGTATCTTTTTCTTAATTATATTTATCTATGTGTGCGGATTGTTTATTATGTTTTATGCAGATGCACTTTCCTACAGGATCAATCTTAATCAAGAATCAGTCTCAATCAATCACAAATTATTTCCATATAGAGATTTTCGCTGTGGCGACCCTAGATTAATAAAGGGTCCAAGCCAAAAAGAAAATTAATAAATTAATATGAAATTCTGACAATAGAAAGTCATTGAAGGCACAACAAATGTATAAAATATATGTGTTATACTATAATATGATATAATTAGTGCTGTAAAAATTAGTGCGTTAACGCATGCAATTAATTTGAAATATTTAACACGTAAAAAAGAATTACGAAATTAACGCAGTTGCAGGGTTTTTTGCTTTTTTTTACTTACTTTTGTGGTGGACGTGTGTTCAACATGTAAAGAAATATAGATAAGACCAAGGAAGCACTTTTTGAAGGCAAGTTTGAGTATAAAACAATTAGTCGCATCACCAGGCTCTCCAGAGTTTCATCTAATTTCGGGTGTTTCATTTTTAACTTTCGACTTCTGTTTTAATGGAATTTGATACCGCATGGCAAACAGGAAGAAAAACCTGCACATTTCATGACTCGGTGGTCCTTTAAGGTAATCGAAAATCACTGCTTATATGGTCGACTCTTAATAAGAGTATTATCTTAATCATATTAAAATTGGAGTATTGGTGTCTTATGTAAATGAAGTGCCAGATGAAGTTGTGAGCTGTTAAAGACAGTGCATTCCTCTGCCTTTCAGCATGCGCCCTCCAATGTTTCAATAAGTTTGACGTGTTTCCCCCTTAAACGTAAGTTTTTTTAAAGCATATGCTTCGCGTTTTTGTGTCAGAATCCTTGTGAAATACAGCCATACTTTAGAATGCTTAGTTTAAGCAAACACTTACAGGGGCAGGTGCTCAACGCGATCGCAAAGCAAAGAGCAAGCACCTCCTGAGAGGGGCACCTCACCTTAGCTAATGAGCACCAGGCCACCCCCCTGTGCACGGCCCTGATCTGTGGATGTGCATGCTTTTCTCAACAACAAACCTGCCTAAACATGGTTATCCGTTGCCACTAAATCAAAAAGTTACGAATTGCCGTGAGATTGCGTTGCACTCTAAGCTCACATCATTCAAAAGAAAAGTTCCACATTGTCCTCTTATAATGTCAGCAGACTGGACTATTTTAAGGAGTAATATAATATAATATAATATAATATAATATAATATAATATAATATAATATAATATAATATAATACAATAAATATAATATAATATAATATAATATAATAATATAATATAATATAATATATTATAATAAATATAATATAATATAATATAATATAATATAATATAATATAATATAATATAATAAATATAATATAATATAATAAATATAATAAATATTATATAATATAATAAATATAATATAATATAATATAATATAATATAATAATATTCTTTGTTAATAAATAAAGATTTAAATGAGCATTTCACTCAAATGTTTTGGAGAAAATGTCAGACAGGTGGGCCTTCAAAAATTGATTGGAGAAAGGAGCGGGCCCCGCAGTGAAAAAGTTTGAGATCTCCTGGTTTATCATATCCTTTTAGAAGCATCTCCACTTGCACTTCTTGGAAGATTTGAGCATTCTGCTTGTGCATCAAGGATGGCCGTCACTTCCTTCTCATATATAGCATTTACATTTTCAGTTGTCATCCTCCACCCAAACCTCTCACCTTTCACCATTTTTGTTGTCACATGATCTGCTGAAGCAAAATCACAGGATGTTTCGTTTCCATCGTAGTTTATGCACATTCTTTTATAGGAAAAAAGTTGTACGCACAATTTTTTTATGTGCATTTTCAAAATGCATGCACATCTTGGCATTTCCATCCAAGATTTTTTTTTTAATGCGATATTCCAAAATGTGCATAAAATATGTGGATGGAAATGCAGCTAATGTAATCTCGACTGCAGGACAGAGATGAGTTGGTCCTGGAGGATCTCTGTGTCTGATTATCAACATCTTCAGCTTAACACAGACACCGGAGACCTTTCTGAGTGTGTCAAAGCAGATAACGTTCACCTCGGGCCGTGTCCGCTTTATCCTCTTTACTACACACCGCCTGAGGAAACGGACGGACACGTTTATGTGCATCCTCTAAAAAACGAATGAAAGTACAGTAGAAAGTACAGTAGAAAAACAATTTCCATTTTTTTAAGCCTCCGGTGGACAGGTGTTGAATTATTACGTTTACTAAAACACTTAAACAAACAAATGCATTTGGTTCTTCAGTGTATTTGGGATTTCCATGTCAAACAAACAAACAAACAAACAAATTAGATAAATAAATAATTAAATAAATAAATAAATAAATAAATAGATAAATAGATAAATAGATAAATAATCAAATAAATAAATGAATAATCAAATAAATAAATAAATAAATAATCAGATAAATAAATAATCAAATAAATAAATAAATAGATAAATAAATAATCAAATAAATAAATAAATAGATAGATAAAAAATAAAATGAATGAATGAATGAATGAATGAATGAACGAACGACCGAACGAACGAACGAACGAACGAATGAATGAATGAATGAATGAACGAACGAACGAACGAACGAACGAACGAACGAACGAACGAACGAACGAACGAACGAACGAACGAACGAACGAACGAACGAACGAACGAACGA